CTTGTTAAATAGCTCACCTAGTTCATGCCTACTATGACTGCAGAAATTATCTGTTCCCTTCAATCTCCTCATGTTTTTGACAAATACTGTTCTCACTCAGGCATGTGTAGTTTTGGCCAAAAATTCTCCCATGACACCTACCTGAATTCTGAGTCCTCAGCAGCATCAAGACCTCCTAGATCAGAAAAACATTCTGAGTCCTGTCATTATCCATATAGCTCTAGGGTCTCCTTTGCAGACAGTGCTCTCAGAAGAGATGCAAGTCTTAGAAAGCTCAGCTGGGAGTCACAAAAGGACATGATTTCCTGAAGTGGAACTGTGCTGGGATTTTAGCACCTTTGTAGGTCTAAGAGAGAAATTCAGTTCATGGCCAGAACAATTCTCCAGTCCTGGTTCATGAGCCACTGTTGTAGACCTCAAAAGGTAAATTTATAGTCTAAGGAAGAAGTAGACCTCACTGAGGAGACATAAAGGTCTTGCTATTGATTTTGTATTTTATCTAAATAGAATTTCACATAAAATGCACGAGTTGTTCTTGAAACAAAGTTTATATCCAAATACCTCTCTGATCAATGGCTTAAGGGGTTAAACTTTCTCTTTCTCCAGTCCCAAAACTCTATGTTTGTTTTCTTCAAAGTGTCCTGTTTCTGAAGGCAGCTGCTTAGGTACCTCAGTGCGTGAGAGGGCTGTGGAATATGGAACCTGGTCTGAAAAAGCATGTCCCTGCCACCCAGCAGTAACTAAATCCCACTGGCAGGGCAAGGGTGTCAGATCTAACTCTGTCATCAGGGGTTTTTATTAGAAAATTTTGACAGTTCCGTATTTAACACATTGTCTGTTTTGATTCTAATTCATATGTTCAATGACTAGAGAGTTTAAGTGTTTTATTCAGGGGTGTAGATACCACTGGGCATATAAAATTTAGTATAGTGACTCAGAACATTATCATACTAACCTTCCTTAAGGGATCTAGTTCATACTCTGTCCTCTTTATTTTTTCATTTCCAATATTAACTAGGCCTTTAAAGGCTGTACCTTGTTTTAGAGTCTATCCTCTGTTGAATCAAAAGTCACTGATGGATAAGAACCAGCAAGCAATTAGCAACAACAAGTACTTAGGTCATTAATGATATAGCTTCTTCTGACTACCTCTTAGCAAGATATCTGAACGCAGAAATTCTTCTCACTCCTCTCTCTTCTGTCCTGAATTTATATTTAAGCAAATTCAACAGATTAGACATGTCACAATATGAAAATTAATATATTTGTTATCTATGCAATTTGGATAATGGTCATGGGACATACCTCCCATGATATGGAATGTAGATACACCTCATATACCTTGCAATAATGCAAGGAAGCCTTTTGTGATTATATTGGTTTTGATCACTATATTGCGCCAGAGTCCAACCCTTTGTGACCACAGGATTACCCTACCTTCTTTCTGTTGCATAGCTTGAAGAAATAACTAGAATCTGCTAGAAATTAAAGTATTAACTAGAAATATGTTACTGCTGCCTTGTAGGCAAGCTAAATATGAATCATTGCAAGAGCACAACACACCACTTATTCCCTGAACTAAGTAAAACCCAGTATTTTGCCAATGTTTATAAAGGTGTTTCTTCCATACTAGAAACAAAAGTAAGAGGATTTTTAAAAGATAGCTTATCAAATGATAAATAAAAAAAAAAAGATAAAATTACTTGCTTTGTTGTTTTAAGCACATACATACTTTAAAGTTCGGGGCACCTGTGCTCACAGATCAGTCAAGTCCTGTTTTGCAATCATAAGGTATGATATGCTGATTAAATATTTTAAATATAGTACATGAAATCCCAATCTAAATCTGAGAAATGCTAACAGTATTCCACTTGTGTGTAGATGAAATATGCTTATTCTAACACTCAAATATTTACCCTAAATTCCAACTCCAAATGACTGTACATGTTAAAATGGAAAACACAGATGTTTAACCTGTTGGATACAGGAATACAGCTGTTTAAAGCACGCTTTCTGTAGAAATTGAAGTAATTGAGCTAAATGTTAGCTGATATTTAGGAATTGTTTAAAATAAATTATGACACATATTAAAAGCCCACTAATTTTTAATGAATATCTGTATTAATAGATTCTCTCTATTTATCCTTTGGTTGGTTTTTTTGGTGTTTTTTTTGGTTTGGTTTTTTTTTGCTTTGTCTTTTTTTTTGTTTTGTTTTTGTTTGGGTTTTTTTGTTTGTTTGTTTGTTTGTTTTTAGTGTTGTTTTGGTTTTTTGGGTTTGTTTGGGGTTTTTTTGCATGTCATATTGACTCTCCTGAGCGCTCTGTAATATTTTTCTGCCATTGTCCAGAGACTGATTCAATTCATTGACTTTCCTCCATCCATGGTCCTGGGCTCATAAATCATCCCTAACCCCTTTTCTTGCTCTCCAGTCAGTTGAGCTGAACCCTTGACAATGAACCAAATATTTTGGGTTGAAATGCATGAGAAACAAAGTTTTCACCTTGCAGATTACGTACAGACAACTACCACACAAATGTATGGTTGTACTATGGTTCAAGGATGTCTATGCTTCCATGTGAAGGAGCAAAAGGATCCTTAAAATGCACACTAGAATCCCCAAGATTCAATAAAAAAACACAACCAGGCTTTTTGACTTCCACGGTGACTGAACTGTTCAGCTATGCTTAAAACAAGGCATGTGTCCAAGACATTTAAAGTTCTTTAGCTATCTCAGGTGCTTAGGGATTTAGACTATGTCAGGTTAAGGCCTCTCTAAAAAATGGATGTTACAAGTTCTGGGAAAAGAAAACTCCTCTGTGATGGGAGTATCAAATGAGTCTCTAGCCTTAAATGGAAAAGAAAAGTATCTTTTGTTCTGTGCATTTTCAGTCTAAGTCAGTTAAGAAAGTAGGAATCCATCTATGTACAATGGTACTGCCAAACTCTGGTGACCACAGTCCTCCTCACAATAATACTCCTCCAGTGCTTAAAGTACATTCTGCTGAATGAAAGGCCCAGTTTTGGTAAAGCTGAAGATATTCAAACATGAGTTTGAAACCTGTGACTTATTGTGTAAAGCTTACACCTAAATGGTCAGGAACCTGGACTTTGGTCCTTGCTCTGAAATTTATTAATTTTACTTTAAAGAGGTATGTGGTAAATTAGATTGTAGGGGCTTTTAACAGCTAACTGAATCTAAAGATTCTGATTTCTGCCATGGTTATTTTAACTGTAAGATTGAAATGTGTCCAATGTCTTTGATTTCTCTCACTTGAGGAATCTTGCTTGACTGCATTGTGACACTTTCAGCAGGACAGGTTCAGGATTCACTTTTTATCCCTCCATCTGAGGACTTTGATTCTGTCAGAATAGATTAGACGTTATTTCAGAGCTTCCACCATACAGGGAAGTAAAGCAATACCTGATGTCTTTATCCCAGTGAAGCTGAAAATCTGATCCACTTAGACCAGGGACTTGTCACACTGCAGGAAGTGAACTACCAGAAGTAAGGTGATGTTGTGCCTTTGGAGAAGTATGTACAAACATCATGAAAAGGATAGGTTCTTTCAGCATTTCTCCTCTCCAGATAAAGGAAGGTCTGCAATCATTGCTTTGGACTTACACTGATTTAACTTCAATCCTGCTGCAAGGCTAAGCCTAAGCTTTTTATTGGATTCATCTCCTAATACATATGGAATTAATTTTTTATCTCAATGAATATTTTCCTCATATATACCTTTGAACATCTGGACACACCCTTCCATGTAGCTCCTTAATGCCTCTAGTTCATCTCTATAACTCGTTCATGGATTGCTGTCAAAAGTTTTCAAGGTATCCAGCCATAAAAACACATAACCATAGATTGCACACATACTTGCTCACCTCACTGATTGAAAACGTTTCAAAGTTTTACCCCTCTGCAGAACAGGAACACCAAGATGCCTCCTGTAGCAGAGTGTCCTATTATCCTGAAACATGTGAATAAGTTTTACATGGACTTTAAAACATTTATTTCAGAGCTAAGCTAATAACTAAATAATATTGCTATTACATAGCTTCAGCCATATATTGCAACCAAGACTTTCACAGTTATGGTATTTGAAAGTGGCAGTAAGGAAAGTGAAACAAACAGAGCTTTAAAGCGACCCTTTTTTCTTCTTAATTTCTATGGCTTCAACAACATTAAGCAGTTTTGGTGCTTCTTTTAATATCCTACCTGTGATAGCATCTGTGACGATCCTTTGGGAAATGGCTGAAGAGCATCATAACCTGTCCATTCTTTTCCTTCTGGACAAAATTTGGGCTTGATCTTGTGTGGGACACCTGCAGTGTTGGAGCAGCAAAGTTACCCATGTGTCTGCCCCACAGAATTGCTGCACAGGATCACTTTGGGCTCTCCTTAGGGCAGATACTGGTCTTTTCTGCCCCACCCAAACCAGACAAAGCAGCCTCACTGAACAGCAGGGTCATGGCCAGGGTTTTCTCTTGGTGTTTGATTAGGTCTAGGTCGCAAGCCATGGGAAAAAAAGCAGTAAATCTAATTCAGATACGCTCCACACAGTTCTAGCATTCCTTTGTAAAACTTATTTAATGTTCTGTAGATATGCTCAAGCAATTCTGACGAAAAATGTCACTCAAGGGCTTTGCCCAGAATAAGTGAAATTCTCAGTCATGTTACTCAGTCCTCATTTGCAAAACCCAAAACCTTTTGTGCATGTGAGTGATCAGTAAGGGGCCTGTGGCTGTGACCTTCAATCTTTGCAGGGTGGAAACAGCACATCTATTCTGCTATGTAGTTACATCCTGGAAGTTACACGACCTTACTCAAGTCAAAGCCTTACATTTTTCAAACAGGGGTACCGCTGAAGCTCTAAGTCAAAATAATGAAATAAAAGTATTAAATAGTTTAATGTATTAAACTATCAACAGATACATTGCTTAGAGCATTGGCTAATTACACTAGCAGATTATCTATTGCAATGTCAGTACCAAAATACTGACTTCGGTTTTATATTGCTTCTTGTGTTGTTATGTACCACACAGAATCTTAGGAAAAAAATTTCCGGAAAAATATCAAGTTTTAATGCAAAAGAAATTAAAGCAAGTAAATGGTGGGTTTAAGTACTACAGAGACATGAAGCATTGTTTCTTCATATCCTGCTAAGAAGCAACAGCTGTACTTCATTTTAACTTGACGTGGTTCAGAACTCATACTCATATAGGTATTTAATGATCCAAATATAATGGTCCTGCATAGTTTAATTACTTATATGAAGGCTCAACTTCATATGCAATCTCTTAATAAAAGATGCTGCTGTGAAAATCTTGCTTTGGTTCTAACAAAGAATAAACTCTTTAACACTGAAAATGCTTTGTTGAAATTGGAGATTATTGACCATGGATCCTGAGCACAGTTGACAGTCAATGTTATTCCTTCTTGATAGACTCCTTGTTTCTTCTTCCTTCATGGTATAGCCAATACAATGAGAACAGGTAGAGTGCAAGGCAGACCATCAAATCATAGTGGTAGAGTGTTGCAGCAAATAGAAGAAACAAGAAGAAATAAAATATTTTGAAAGCAATATGTTTTAAACCTAGAGACTCACTAGGTAACTTAAGTGCTTCACTCTTCTGGTTAGAAATATCTGCCGAATCAGAAGCATGCTGGCTTTCTTTCTGTGAGTCATCAAGCCAGCTTTGTGTTTCCCCCTCAGTTATTAAATGGTCAGCATGAGAGTCTGTTCCTCCATTCTCTCTGGTAGACTTATCAATTAAAACCTCTGGCCTCCACAACTTCTCTTGTTGGAGCTCTGCTTGATGGAAAAATTGACCTATATTCCTTCCTCTTCCTTCGCCAGAAATTGCTGTGTCTGAAGCAGAGGGTACTTCTCCTTTTTCAACTTCGGGAGAGAAGCTTTTGTTAATACATGTAATTTCACTTGTTAGATTTAAATTGAACCCTGACTCAGCAGCAGCCTTGTCAACGACTTTGGATTCAAAGTATCCATACAGGTGCTCTGAGCCTCGTTCCACACCGGGCCCTTCTGAAGATGCCACTGAAGAGATTTTATAATGGTAACTAGGCACAGGATTTGTACCAGAAGGTGGCATTTTTGTTTCAGCTTTAGAACATAAACAGGAAAGTGTATCACCATGGCTTTCTTCCCTGTGGAGCTCTTCTGCTTTCTGATGGTATAGATGTTTCTGAGTGCCCAGGAGACTTTTAGGTACTTCTGAACATAAACCCTCCTGCAAATTTCCTGTAGCAGAAGTTTTTACTGCTTCTCCTACAGGTAGAATATTGTCTGCTTGTGCTTTGGCACATTTTTCCCTGCTATTGCATACAGACTTCGTTTCTCCTTGCAGCGTTTCATGTACGCATGCATTATAAATACCTAAAACTGATTTCTTTTCAAATTCAGTGTCATATAATACACCCACTGTGTTGAGTTGACAAAGAGCATAATGTGAACCATCATTTCTCCCTTCATGTGTATCAAACGCTGTTTCCTTTTCCTCTGTGGGCCTGTCACTTAGTGCAGTCTCTCGAGGTAGCTTAGCAATTACTGCTTTTTCACTGCCAGGCATTTTTTCTGGAGCACTTTCTGATATTGTTTTAATTATATAAGCTGTACCTGCCTCTGCTTTCTCTGTAATACCCTGCTCAGAGACAGAAGACTTTTCACAACTCTCTGCCTCCTGGCAGGTAAACAACTCCTTTGTGGAAGTCACGGTCCGAGGTTCCATGCTCCCCCTCACTCTCCACTGAGCCTCACTCCCCGTTTCTTGCCACCTCTGCTCTGCGAAGGTTGTGCTGTCTGTCTTCTCTCTGTCTTCTAACCTTTTGAATCCTCTGTGTTCCTGATTGTCCTCAGGTCGCCTTTCATCCACCTCAGTGGCCCTGGGTGCCTGCTTGTTGTTCTCAGCTGGCAGAGGTGCTGTGTTCAGGGTTTTGGCATTGTGTTTCCTGTATGGCTTGAAAGGCTTGGAAGCTTCCTCCTCACCAATTGATGCCAAGTCTGCTACTTCAATGACTTTCTTCTGCTTCCCTAAATCAGTGTTCTTTTCTGACATTTCACCGACTCCTTTTATTTGTGTTGAATCTGTTGAGACACCAGCATGTGCAAAAGTGCCAGCATATAAATCTCCTCTTAAATGTACCTGAACTTTGCTTTCAATCATCTTGATTTTTCCTTCATTTTTATCAGCATCTGACAACAATGAATCCAAAGTCTGGAGAGACATTTGTGGTGCCTGGTGCTCCAGAGCTGGATTAGCATTGCCATCCAGTGTCCTTGCCATGCATGCTTTTAATTTCATGGATTCATCTTGCTCTGGTAAAATGGTTTCTGGTCTCATTTCACAGGCCCCTTTTGAGGTATCAGCAGCATCCTCACTGATGAATAACCTTTCCATCATCTTACTTCCTGAGGCACTATCTATTTCACCTTTTGAAATATCTGTGTGCCTCTCTTCTTGTCGGCTTGAGCCAGTAGCCATAATATTGATAGCCTCATTCTGCTTTGTCAGAGGAAAATGTTTTGCCGATAAAAGGCTTTCACTGGTACCAGTATGTTCCAAAGACCTCTCATAGCTGTTTACTGAGCCAGCAGTGGCTTCCTTCCCTGATAACTGATTATTATAATGTCTTACAGAATACTTAGCTTTATCTTTTAATTCTTCTCCTATCGCATGTGAAGTGTTTTCAGATGAGGAACTGATAGGCATAGGGTGCAAGTCACTGCTTCTTTCTATACAGGTTAGCTTTTCCACCAATCTTTCAGTTTCACTTGGAAAATTAATTGGGTCTGTTGTATATAAATTCCTTTCATCTCTGGAAGAGGTACCTCTAGCTCCTGTGAAGTGCTGATTTAACTGAAACAATAGAATAGAAAAGAATGATCAAAAAGTGCTTTGCAAAAATATGCCAAATGAAGGAGGCAGGATTTCATTATGGAAAGTTTTGTTTTCAGTAACAAAGCTTTTATGGAAACATGTTCCAAACCATTTGCAAAATTTGCATTGCATGTATTTTTTAACATGGGTAATGAGCTTTATGGTGGTGCTGAAAGGAGCAGGAAATAAAATAGTGCTCAGAACCCTCTCTCTTTATTCATGAGTTCGGTAAGCTGCTAGTGGATTTTACACAAATTAAATCTGAAGAGAATATTCCCTTAAAGGCAGGCTAATTTGTTCTCTATACGTTTGATTCTAGATTTGGAGAGAGGAAGCTGTGGGGCGAGGGGAGGGGGATTAGTGATTAAACGAGGGCAGTGATACAGTACATCAGTGTCCAGTAATGTACAGTATTGTCCAGTAAAACAAAGACACGTTTCACACTGACAAATACTGTAAGGATTATCTGTGCTATATTTCTCTCAGGGACCATTTTACAGGTTTCAAACCAGAACTGTTTTTAGACAATCTGGTAAGACATGAGTTGGAAATGAGATTAGCAAAGTAAAAGGCCAGAAACCAATCATTCTCCTTTCCAGCTTCCAAATATCATATTGTATTATTCAGCTATGCCTGCTTGTCATTGCACTCTCTTCTCACTTTAGCAGTCACACTGATAGCACCAGCTGATCAATTAGAGGCTAGCTGCTTGGGCACCCCTTTATACATTTGCACTTGCTGTAGATACCCCCATTACAGTTTCTCTTATTAATATGTTTTCTGCAAAGCCTCTGCAAACTATTAATAGTAAAACGTCACTCAAAGAAAAGTGAGGGAGCTAATGTCTCTGCAAATTCTGTTTTAATGACCCTCTGCCAACCAGTGCTCAAGTGTATTTGAGTTCTTCGGTGATGCCAACTGTCAGGATTTAACAGTGAGATGCCTGTGTTTTTTTCCCCTCCTCATAACTGACATTTGCATGATCTCAATAATTATATGCAAATCTTACGATTTCCCCTTCTTCTCACATAAGGCTCACGTTACTTGTCAACTGCACAGCTGTCTTGTGAGCCAATGCCTGTGTGTTTCAAAGATTTGGTTGTATTTCCATGTATTATAAGCCTTCATTGTTTAATTCATTAAAGAGCGCAGAGTGCAAATTAACATCTAAATTATAGCTCCCCCTTCATTTATTGTATGGACAAGTCTGGCAATTGATAAACAAATGGTTATATTTGATCCTCTTTTTTGTAAAAGGGTGGACTGAGAACAACAAGGGATTTTAGAGGTCTTCCTTTGCACGTTTCACCATAAAGAAAAAAGAACCAAAATGTTGACTTTCAGGCAGTGAAAGGTCCCACAATAGGCAACAATTTTCAACTTTTTAAAGTAAAATAAAATAAAAATTTATATTCAAATGAGAGGATTTTTTTTCTCTCTATGAACAAGAAAAAAAGAATGGTTTCCCATCTTCCTCTCTTGTCTGATTCAGCATTCACATTTTCACAGGTGATAGCTATTATAATCTATGATTATGAATCTGTGCACCCAAATGATATGAGCTGAAAACAGACACTGGGAATAATAGATTGCTGTATGTGTCTCGTTTATTGCCATTTTTTCTTTCATACTGAAAAATGCAAGGCAAACCACACACATGCATGCACGCAAATCCAAATAGATTGAATGTTCACTGAGTGTGAAATTCATTGTAAAAAATATAATGTAAAATAGTGATATAGAAGAATCTGCTAACATAAATCTATATATTCTTACTATGCTCATATAGCTATCGTTTCAAAAATCTCATAAATAAACAGTACTACAAATATAACAATTTTACAAATAGAAAGCATGTATTTAAAAATATTCCCATCCTAGAGACTAGGAGGGGAGATTTTTTTTAAATGTTACCATTCTAATTCCTTAGAACTGTCTTTTAGAGCCTCTGGTAAAGAAGTAAAAGGGAGAAATCATTAATTTAAGACCAGAAAAAGTTGATGCACTATACCGAAATCAAAGCACCTTCTATTGTTGAATCAGTTAGAGATTCAGTGTAAGTACAGACCAAGGCTTTACATTTGTAAATTAGTACATCAGTCAGCTCTGCTAAAAGGGGGCATTTCACCAGCTTTGAAGCGTAAATGGATTCAAATCATTTAATACTGTAGATATAATTGTATAACACTTACCAGCAACTCTAATTCTTTTTCATCATCTTTGTGATCACCCTGGTTGTATTCTGCATTTTTTGCTTTTATATTTTCGTTAGCTAGTTTGGTGTCTTTGTCTTCTGCTTGTGAATAAACAATCTCTGGGATGTTTGTGTCTGAAGAGTTAAAAAAACAGTTGAATAATTTCCATGAGGTTGGTTGCTATACTATCTTTAATTAACATGTGCAGTAAAGTAAGGAAGAACTAATTAAACGGGGTGTTGTACCTGAAGTCCTTGAGTTATTCCATGTGCCATCATCAGACATTGGCAATATTTCTTCTTTTCTGTTAAACAAAAAGAAACTTCTTGTGTTATTCTGCAAAAATTATTGTTCTAATTCCCCTTCCACTCAAATATAAAGACTACTAGTTAATTACACAACATTTGGAATGCTGTTTCAAATTCTGAAAATAACAGCTACATAAAATGTAGTGCTTTTTGAGTGACCTGATATTCAGGCTTGGTCATAAGAAAGAATTGGCCAAGAAAATGAGAATGTGTTGACCTTCAGATAACATTGCAAATCTGATGGGTTTTCCCAGGCCTTTTCTGAGAAAGCATCACAAAGGTGATTAGATGGGTCAGTGACAGGAGAGCATAATTTTGGGGTCAGACAAGGGTCTGGAAGGATATATGTGTCCGGGCACTCTATTGCTTGTGTTTTCAAATATTTGTATGTTTACAGAGATGGCTGGGAAAAGGTATCTTTGTTACCTGAAATAAATCAAAAGATTCTCCCTGCATGTGTACAGTATAAATCCTGTTGCTAAACTATGCCTGGCCAGCAGGAATGAATTCTGCTTCCCTCAGCCAGTGCAATTTTTTCTGTTGCTTTGCTGGCTGTGAAAACAAAGGCCAGGTTCAACACAAAAAACACCTATAGAGAGATGTTGAGTGCCTGCAGTCCTCATCAATATCAATTGATATCAATCGAACTGCCAAGTCCTAGCAATTCGAGTTGTGGGCTTATAGGGGTCTAACTTTTAGTGGAAAAGGAAAAAAGTGTTAAGAGAATGTCACTTATGTAAAATATAAATTATTATATCACTCCTAATGACTCCTCTATGAGAAGCTTTTTTTTTTCTGTACGTCTTAATTTATGTGATTTTCAACCAGCCGTCCACCTCTGTTACTGAAAATTACTTTCTAATTTTCAAATATTAATCTTTTCCCCTTCTATTTTCTCCTAGTGTCTTTCATTTGAATTGATATAACATTAACTCTGCCACCTAAATGCTTAATTCAGAAGGAGGATGCTAAATTTATACTCTATTAAAAGAACGTAGGCATCTACTGTCACCAACTTTTTAAAAACTAGTCTTTATAGAGTTTGCCAGCCTAAGCACACAGAAGCTCTTGCCAGTCTAGAATCTGATCTCTGACACTGGCCACTATCAGATACTTTAGGGGCAGATGTAGAGTTGTTGCAGGAAAATACTTGGAGTAATTTGCACTGCACTCTTAAATTTCCTCTTGACCATTTTTTGTTAGAAGCTGTCCTTGAAGCACAAGATTTATGCTCTCTCAGCAATTCTTTTTCACCATTAATTGCAATAATGCTAAATATTCTGGCAATCTGTATGAATGTCATGTCACTCTTGAATTCCGCTATGTGCATAACCTCCATGTGTTTTTGACTCTTCTACTCACATTGAGTCGTACTTTCCCCTGACTGTAGTTGTTATAATCTGCATTTCATTCTGACAAAGGTGGCAGATCCACCTTTTTTCAGTTGATCTGTGGAGGTTTTAAGGTAAATCATTAGTGCTTACTATTTATACATAGGGGTTTTGGGAAGATGGTTAGTTTTTGTTTGTTGGATGGTTGGGGTTTTTTTACTGTTCAAAGGCTTGGCTTAGTGTTACATCTAGTTCCCAGTTTTCTTCTGCCCTTTTGCATCTTTTTCACTCACCTGCTTCCATAAATCTAGGCACTGTGCAGGTTGGGGTTTAACCATGATACAGATACATCAAAACATTCAGGTGCTATTAGGGTATCTGCAAAACCCCCAGATTAGGAGCCAAGACATGTATAACACATGAACTGAATCACTACCCCAAAACAATGATCCCAAAACAACATGGGCCCAGAAGGAAGCATTCTACTGCTTTCCAGCAGGGAAAAAAAGAGCATCCTAAAGCATCTACATTTCTTTGAACACAGCTGACTATCTAGAGTGTTCAGCTATATGGATGCCACAACTCTTGGAAAGCAGAAATGGCAACACCATTTTCTGCAAGAAGGGACTCCTGCCTACTTCTTAAAGGAACAAAAGTTTGACAATTTTTTCATTCAAGAAGCATTCCCAGAAGAAGGGGAGCTGTCAATTCCTTTATCTAGTCTAATATTCTACTGCTAGCTAGAGTCCACAGCAACTACTGTGGCATCCAAGTAGCAGTGCCACTTTCAGCTTCTATCACATCCTCGTGATAAAAAACCCTACTGCACATCATTAATGCAAAAAATACCCAGATTACCAGAATACAGAACATTTGGGGAAAAGCTGGATGGCAGATTTTCCTTCTAGTGGAGCTGGATGTACAAGCAGGATCCTTACTCTTTGGCTTAATTTTCATACCTTGGCCAAAGGAGAAACTGAATTCTGCCCTGTTTCCTGTGTCACCTATGCAGTGAATATTTTTTGTTTTGATTAAGAAATTTTCTGTTTAAAAATACAGACACAGTGTTTGAATAAGGATGTTAAGGATGAGTACCTATTTTATAAACCTTTAAATAAAGATGCTTCAAAATGGATAATTATGGGTGTGTGCCAGGATATTTTTACCTTATCTAGCCTTATTGTTCTAAGCCTCTGTGTTCAGGCAGTCCTGTAGATCATCCCTATTATCAGTGGTGAGAGATTATCAGTTCCAAAAGGAGATTCATTCCCTCTAACATGGGAATCATGAGTAAGATGGAGTAACATATCCTTTGAAGGCACTTCTTTACCTCTGAGACTGACCACAAAGGGAACCTACATCTTTGGCCATTATCTAAAGCTGCATGTTCTCTCACCTTGTAACTCTAAATTCAAACTGGATTGTAGTGTTATGGAATTTTAGTGGCTGGGACAGTAACACTCAATTTATGTGTGATCTGAGCCCCTCAGTTTTGCTGTGATTAGAGCTGAATTTTACCTTAACTTTTGTTCTAGTAGCATCTGGAGCCGTGGTCCACAAGTTTCTTTTCACAACAGCAACACAGTTAAGAAATGGCAATGATAACACAGCTAGACTGCAGGGCTTGTAGCATAATTTTTTGCCTGTTGCACTTAATTTTATAAAGATTTCTGGTTTATAGCCCAATATTTGTGCACACCTGCCCTGCAAATACCTGAGTACAGGGAATGTCAATGTAAAAGTTATTTTACTTAATTTAATTTTAGATCAGAAATATCTGTCCTCATATAATTTTTCTCAGGGGAAATTTAAAATTTGCTTAAATTGAGGATATTGATACTACAGTGTTTGAGGATCACAAGGAGAATAAAACAAAAGTAACTTATATGGCTGCTTCAATTTAAGAAATGATATTTTGAGGCTACGGGTGCATATAACTACAGAACAATCTCAGACCTATTTGTATATCCTAAGGACTGAAATACTTCCCAAAAGCCAATAAAAATTAGCCCCTTCATCAAACAGGGGCAATTAGAAGGTGTCTGTCTAGTTCATAAGATTTTTCTCCATATTTCCCTGAAAAAGTCCTAGAACAGTATCAAAATTCCATGAGCAGACTTTTAAATTAGAATATTAATAAGGCTTTTGTTTCAGAAATTAATTATTGCACTTTGTTGTGAAGCGTGGTCTAAATTTTCCTACATGATGAGAGACACATTTGTATTCTGTTAAAAAGGGTTTACTTTTATTTTTAAGTGAGGCAGGTATTCTGACAACAATGCAAGCTAGAAAAAAAATCCATTATGTCAGATAATGCCACTCCATTCCAGCATAAGTAGCCACAAACCTGCAGAAGCTTTGTTGTTTTTTCTCATTCAGCTGAATGGGGCTCATCTTCATACAGTATACCAGGAACTTAAGAATTTCTACCAGCTTAAAAACCCTAAAACCTATGCTCATATGATTAATTCTTGATGAAATTATCACACACTTGCATTGAGTTATAAATATAAGTCAGGACTGAAACAGGTTAGCATTGTAATTTTGCATTAGAAAGAACAAATATGAAGTCAGTAGGACTGAGAGGACTGAAAATGTGATTGAAGGAGTTCAGAAGTCCCAAAGTTATGTGGAGTTGGCATGCCAGAGAGGAAATGTTAAACTTGAACCCTAAAGATGTGAAGAGTAGACAGCAAATGTCTAAGTGACAAGAAAAAAATTAACCAATAAACAATATTTCTTTGACTTCATGAGGGATTGGAATAAACTCAGACATGTCAAGGCTTTTGAACTAGCCCTTTTAAGTTAAATAAGAATTTTTTTAGAAGTTAGATTTCATCAAAATTTCTATATATAACTCCACAAACAAAAGACTTCTTATAAACTCTTCTACTATAGTAGTGGTGGGGCAGATTCTTAGAGGAAGAGAAATCTTGCGGGGCATAACTGCTAGGAGCAGCAATTTAGAAAATTATATTGTTTCATACAGTCTGGGAGCAGAACTTGTCTAAATATGCTCCAATTAAGAGAGGCAGATAATCTCCAACCCAAATATGAGAGACCCAACAGAGGAAAACACATATTGGTTTAAAACCTTTGCTATTCAGAACTATTCAAGTGGTGCTATACTGTAACAATGTCAGAAGAGTAGAAAAAGTAGGAGCTATATTTAGGAAAATAAGAGAAATCATGTCAAGGCAACTGCAGGCCCAGGTGTCTTCAAAAAGTTTTCACAATAGACTTAAAACAAAAATGAGAGAAGAAATACAGATAAATGGAAAATGGCATAAAAATGCCAGACTCACCTGATAATATCTGTCTTTGATAAGATTACTATATTTCCCTTGTCTAAAAATCAGTTATCTGGACTTCATTAAAGCGTTTGTTGTGCAGCCACATGGGAAATTTATTAATTAAACGGGAGAAGAGGGAGCTGAGCATAAGAGCTGGGCGGTGGCAGAGGGGCTCAGTGCCAAGCAGAGTCCCTGGAGCTGGGCTGTGGAGCTAGCAGGCGTCGCTGGGGAATCAGAGAGGACATGTCATGCAATCAGACTTACTCAGTCATGTTATTACCGACCAAAGCACAAGAAGTCAAAGCTAAATTAAATCCGTGGCAGAGAGGAAGTTGGGAGACATCACCAACACAGAGGAGGATTGAGAGAAAT